GGGGCTTAAGTGGAGAGCAAATGTTTTGGGAATGATGAGGGCAATGGATGTACAAATGTGTTTTACACAATGATGTATGTATGGATTGTGATAAGAGTTGTATGAGACCCTAATGATTAAAAAAGAACAACAACAACGAAAGAGATGTAAGAGCCCCCAATAAAAGTATTTATTAATAGAGTGCACAGTAAAAAAATCAGCATATACTTTACCTAATTTTCTGACATACATCAGATATTATTCCTTTTTTTCTAAGCTGCTAGCTATTGCATAATATTTACAAAGAGAAGATTATATGGAGTTTTTTAAACCACTTAAAATGTGTTACTATAGCTATGTCTACATGGTTTTAAAATGCTGCAGAGGAACAAACAACTGAGTCTACAATTCTTAGGGGACCACAGTTAAAATAATCTGGTATTGTTTTCCAAAAAGAAGGAGAAAGAGAAGAAGTCTGTAATGGTATTTGTATTGTCAATGCAGATCAAATATATCTGGTGATTGAATGGGTTGCTCTAGGAACTGCAGTGAAAGGTGTTACTGGGACTGTTTTTTGTGTTAGTTAATACAATGGCCCTAAATGAAAACAGATGTGAAGTCTCTATGAGGTTTCACATTGCTTAGGCCTTCCTTTCCTTCTGATTTCATTCTCAGTAATCAGAGTATCAAAAAAAAAAATGGTGGTTTGTTTTTCTTCCTTCTGCCAAATGTCAACATCTTGCACTCAAGGAAAGCACCTGAGAGGGTATATAGCTTGGAGCATCACAGTAACACAAAAGGCTTAAACCCAGGGGTTCAAATCAGTTCTTTCTAGGTCAATCACAGCCTAAGAAGCAACATCTGAATAGGCTGAAATTTGTAAAATGTGTGTGAAGCAGAACAATAATGAGTCCACGCTGACTTACAGTGACCCTAGTAGGGCAGTGTAGAACTGCCCCTGTGGGTTTCTGAGACTATTTATGGGAGTAGAAAGTCTCATCTGTCTCCTGAGGAGCTGCTGGTGGTTTTGAACTGCTGACCTCGTGGTTAGCAGCCTAACTCAATCACCAGGGCTCCTGAATGATAACCAGAACAGAAAACTTCTGGGTTGATGAGCTACTAGAAACTTAGTTTCCTTCTTAGAAAACAAGTGTGAGTGGTGGTGTGTGTTGCATAGCAACTAAATCTCTTGGCTGGTGGAGTCAGAACAACAGTGGCCCAACTCAAAGATGGAGGTTGGCTATGGTGTTTTGAATCTGTGTCACTCTGCACAGTCTGAGCAAGAATTTAACCTCCCGCGTCAGGCTCCTGAGAGGGCATAATGGGCCTCTTCTAAGTCTCCCAGCCTGGACTTCAATTTGTAACTTTTCCCATTCCAGTTATCATTCTGCTTCACCTAAATGAAAAAAAAGGGTCTGTTCCAATTTTGCTTTATTGGCTATGACTGAGCTAGTTCAAACCTCTGCTTAAATCCTGTCTGGCTCTATTTGCTCCATGTTCTTCCACATATATCTATCCTGCGCTAAGAGCTGTATAAAGATTCAGTACAGGGAATCCCTAGGGTATGAACAAGATTTGTTCCTGAGTCTTTAAGAATTTGTACATAAGTTGGAACAGGTGCATACAGTTCTTATTTTGGCTTTAGGGCCTAGGTGCCCAAACTTGGCTAATCATGGGCATCACCTGGGGATCTGGTGAAACTATAGATCCATGGGCTCCACTCCCTAGAGATTCTGATTCACTAGGTTGCAAATGGAGCTCAAGAGGTCTGTTGTTTAGCCAGAGTGACTCCAATGATCAGTCGTTTGGCAACCTAGGCTTTAGGGCAAGCAAAGACTAGAAGACTTTTCAATGATTTAAAAGCTGCAAGTGAAGGTGATTGTGATGAAGCGATTCTTGCTAGTAGGAGTGGGTCCAGCCATTTCAAAGCGAGGGCCGCTTTACCTAACACAAAAGGGCAAATATGAGGCATTATCCCGCAGTTGGACATAACCTAGGACTGCCTGAAGAGACTTAACTATTCCTCAACGTCTTTACCGCTCCCTGTAAGTATGTGCTGACTCCTCAAATGCATATTTACATATGTATCCGTGCTTCTGGCTTATGTGGAGGCAGTGTCTGGCATAGATGAAAATTCTATTGTCTTTTGAGTCTAGATTTTTCTTTTTCCTCCACTGCTCAGACTGTGGTTTTCATGAAATTATGGGAACTCTGCATTATAATGCTGCTATAAGGACACAGAAGAGTACTTGCTTGACAGGATTGAAATTCAGAATCTCTGTTCTTAACACACAGT